CACCTCACGTTCCAGGGCTGTAATCCTATATTGATGTTGATCAGTTTTCTCTTGTACCTCAGGGGAAAAAATCATGGTTTCTTAGGTACTTATTACTTTTGCCGTAAAGTCAAACTTCTACAAATATCATCATCAAGTTTTTTTGGAAAAAAATATTAATACCTACGTTTTCAAATAAATGCATTGTCAAGATATATTTCATAAAAAATTTAATAAAAACTAATTTGCACTATAGCTAGATGTATACCTTTCTATAAACTTGAATCAAATTAGAAATGAAATTTAACTTAGGGCAATGCTGTAGCGTATATATAACTTGGAGGTAGTGGATATATAACATGGGATCCAAACCGACAGTGTGGCACGTTCCACGTGATCGATGTCAAGGACACTAGATCTCTATTAGGCTCAACACGCAATTTGGATGCGCAAATAATGAGCATGAGTGTTGTGTGATGTCTGTTAATTATCATCAGTGATTGTCTGATGGGTGCGCTAGAATGAAACTAATATGAGTTATACGATATGTCTCCTTTTGGCTCCCAATCCAAGCAGCTAGAACCAATGTTATTCTAAACGGTAAATAGTCAGTCACTTACAATTTAGCTATTATTTGGATTAAATAGACACTTACATATAGAAACAACATAATTATATATCTTGATGAGGTTCGTATTTGGTATATAATGTAAGATAACAATTCTTACATCTTGCATGATATAACTTGTTGTACGTAGACGTAGGGCATCTGATCCTCACCATTTGAGTGCACTGGGAGCTTTTGAACGAAGAAAATTTGATGATTTTGTAGTTAAAAGAGCGGTACATAAAACTCCATATCCCGCGTAGATTACGCGCTCCCACAGCCATCCTACCCCCTGTTGCAAATTGCAATACGATCCTCCAATCCTTACCTGCCGCGTGCCATGCGACGTTTCCTTTTTGCCGGTCTCCCAGTCACCAGTTGCACGGCCCAGATCCCGGTTTCTATACTCACCTCCAAAAGCTCGTATACCATGATGCTACACACCTGTCCTGTCTTCTACATTTTATCATTCTTATATTAATTAAAAAAGTCCAAAAATAGAATGGAACACGGATCGGAGGTCGACGGGTGTGACACGGAAACGGGAGCGAATCCTCTTGTCCATACTATCACCATCTTGTATTTTGGATGGGATGGACCCGAAAATATATATTTTTTTTCACAAACGAAGTAGCCCACATTCACTCCTGCTCCCAATTTTCCACCGACCATCCCAAGTCCAACAATACCTACAACATACCATACCTCCTTCCTGAGAGGTCAACCATGGCACTTGCAGTAAACTCTCCTGACCATAGATCGGTGCTCCATGTAGCGCTACCTATCCCACCGCTCGGCGCAGCAGTGCCCCGGGCCACCCTCTACGGCTCCTCTTTGTCCCTCCCTCAGCCGAGACACAACGCTCGGCAGGTGTCGGCTTTGGCTTTGGCATAGCGATGCCTTATGTTTGACCGTTCCGGTGCCCCGGCCTGCACTCAGGGGTCAGGGCTGGTCCTGAGTTTATGTTTTTGGCCTAAAATAAAACTAAAATTATAGGCCCCTTTCATATAAACATGATAATTATAATAGTCAATATATATGTAAACGAAATGTTACAAATAAATAGTTAACCACAAGCAAAAGTAATATTTATATAAAATAATTCATACATAATAAATGACCTTAAAATTTCTTCCAACATTTCTCGATGTGAAGTCATTGATGATGATATCAATATTGATCTTATTCGACAATCGCTTCTTAGTGCATAATATTATTAAACTATTTAATCTCTCTTGAGACATTGTAGATCTTAAATAGTCTTTTAACAATTTTAATTCTGAGATGCTTCTTTTAGACGATGCTACGGTCACAAAAATAAAATCAACTCCTATATGGTTGTATGCATGCACACCACCTTAAGGAGTTGAGTCCCTTGTCCCTCGCAGAATGACTGGAGGCGTGATGTCGCCGCGTCGTCCCGGCCTCGTCCGTTGAAGGCTTGAAGTTGGAACTCTAAAGTCGAAGGGGCGCGGCAGCTCATCACGCGGTCGGTTGATCTCGCCTGGGGCCATGGGAAGTTGAATTGATCAGGCCACCGGATGTACAACAGCGCTCCAGAAGTCCAGTTTCCACGCGTGGCATGCTCCTTCTCCGCTGCTCGTACTGGGCCTTTTTTTTTCCTTCACAGTCCTGGGATATGCACACTTCACAGTCCTTCACAGATGCTGGTTCTGCCTGGGAGCTATGAGATGTGATCAACTATGAGTTTGTGAAGTGCGCTTTATCCATTTTACCGCCGTGGGCTATAAAGCATGTGGCTTGTCGATTGTGTCTTGAACTAGTCTATGTCTAGTACTGGCTTGAGTATCTGGTTTCTGTCCATTTCTCTGTTGAATAACCGTACCGGTTCCGTTTTCACAAAAAAAAAAAAATAGAAACGAAAACAAAAGAGGAGTTTCTCACCTCTTCCTATCTGCTTTATGCCTATGCACTTGCATCATGATGGGAGCCAAATGTTTAGCACAATTCTTACCCGGAGCAGAGCCATTTGTGCGTATTATTAACGTCGTTGTTTTCCTTTTGAGGCTATATTCTCAGTTAGGAGTTAAATCTCGTCAAATAATCATGTGTTTCGTTCTAAGGATCTAGTGGGATGGAATGAGACGATCCTTTTTTTTAGGCGTTTGGTTGGGGGGTCATCAGGGGTAGCTGGGTAGGGTCATTCTCTCAGGAGAATGTTCCCAAATATCCGGAGTGGCTCCGTCGCCTGGAATTGAAGGGATGGGGTCGCCCCTTCACACGGCGTGAGCGTTTGTTTTCTTCTTGTGCGTGCCTCCAGCCTCCTCCACTGCTACTTCTATTGCGGCGATGGTGGCTGCGCCAGGGCGGCGCGTCTCGCGGGCCGGCCAACGGCACGTGCTCGTCTTCCTCGACCTCGATCTCGTGGCACTGGATCTCGCTACCAGAGCTCGTGGGGCAAGGGGCCGTGCGGCAGCGATGTTATCTTTGCCACGGCAGCCATGGAGGCATCCTCGTTCCACCGGATAGGCGCCGCGGAGGCTGGCCGGGGTGGCGCGATTGAGTCCCATCGGATGGGCAGCACGGACGGGCACAGCGCACAGCGGAAGAAGACGAAAAGTAAGCAGACTGACAGGTGGGACCCATGTAACGGTGTGTAACAGGCCAAAAATTGCCATCAATACAAATAGAGACATGGGTTCATCCCATCCTAAAAAAGGAGAATGGGTCCATCGCATCCTTTCTTGTTTCTGAATCAAACACTTCCTATGCCACATAGATTAAACAGTTGAGATGACAAGCAATTTATATGAAGAGAAAGTGGGAATGGTTCCATATACATAAAAAGAAGAGGAAAATTCATATCTAGTCCTTTAGCTTGGCACGAGGTGTCATCTAGGTCCTCTACTCTTAAAATGCTATTTCTGGGGCCAAGAATTTTGCTTTGGGTATCATCCAAGTCCAAACGGGCCCTCGACAGTAATAGATAGACTAATTTTTGAGCCAAACCTCTAACTAGTTAGCCAAACTCAGCTAATTTAGGCTAGCGTTTAGCCCCAGCTAATAACTACTTTAAGCTAATTCAAACACTCTCTTAGAAAACCGAAAAAAAAACTCCTCGTCACTGGGAATGGTCTAATGTGTTAAACTTGGTCTCTCTTACCTCCTTAGACATTAATTAATACTCCATCCATTTCAGAATATAACTACGTTTAAACCTTTGTCAGATAGATTACAAATAGTGGCAAAATGTGTAATATTATTTTCATTGGAACTATCCTTGAATGTGCGTGTGGTCTATGTATGTATGACAACGATGTTTACCGTACATGTCTTCACTCTGATTAAACGAAGATATGCATGTGCTGTTATTTTATTGATCCACAGAGTGATAGTATCTTCATCCGTTTAACTACTCCCTCCCTCACAAATTATAAGTCATTTCAAATTTCTTAAATAGTTAAAGTAGGTCAAGTCTGACCAAATTTATATAATAAAATAATAATATTTATAATATTTTTTAAAATAAGTATCATTAGATTCTTCATTTATTTGATGTCATAAATTTTATAATTCTTTTTATAACATTAGTCAAACTTCGAGATGCCTTTGACTATCTAAAAAAAGTTGAAATAACTTATAATTTAGAAATGGAGGGAGAAGTTAGGTATATATACTGGGTCTAATTTTGAACTTCAATAGTAGGTATATCCCGAAAGGCCGAAACTGATGGAGTACAAGTAGTACCAAGTTGGCCTGTTACAGTGCAAATTGCATGAACGAACTTGCCTATTTCAGAGCAGATACGAGGACCTGAGCTGTACACTACTACATTGTGCTGCTGATGGTTAGGAAGCTATCCAAAGTGATGTTTTGGGGGTACTCAGGATCACAAGCAAGATTCGTCACGACCGTATGCCTTGGCAGTGCCAGCGAGGTGCAGCGCATCTCGCCCGGGGCTACCTTGTCGAACGAGCCGCAAGTAAGTGTCTGTTTACTTCTCAAAATTTTATAAAATTTTTCAATATTCACCGTCACATCGAATCTTTGGACGCATATATAAAGCATTAAATATAAATAAAAAATAAAACTAATTACACAGTTTAGACGAAATTCACGAGACGAATCTTTTAAGCCTAATTAGATTATGATTGGACACTAATTGCCAAATAACAACGAAAGTGCTACAGTACCATTTCTCAGAAAATTTCGCCAACTAAACAAGGCTAGCTCCGTCCGAGTGGATCGTGCGAAAAGTGTGTCCCCTTCCGTTCGAAATAGTGTCTCCAAAAAACGTCTACTAGCTACAGTCTATAATACCGCACGTACCAGCACAGTTCCAGTTCCCATCCAAGGAGAGACTGAGTTCTGCTAGCTGCAAGATCACTCGGCACTTCATAGCCATCGACAGATCGACTGCATCCTGCAGCGGCACTACATGCACCGAGCAAGCATGCCGAGCGTGCACCGTTCGAGGCAGCTGGCGGCGCCCGACGAAGCCGACATCCGCCTCTGCTCCGTGCTACTGGCCTCGGTCGTGTCGCCGATGCTCCTCTGCGGGGTCCTCTCCCTGCTCTCCCGCGCCAGCGGCGACAGCGCCTTCCCCACCAAGATCTACGTCATCGTCGGCCCGACGGCGATCATGCTCGTGCTCGTCTTCCTCGGCTGGCTTGTCTCGTGGGGGATCCGGGCTCTGGCCGTGCCGCCTCAGGCTCCGGCGCCCGCGCGCCTGGCGCGACGCCTCTGCGCGTGCGGGCTGTTCGACGCGGCGGGCGTCGCCAAGCTGCCGGCGTTCTCGTTTCAGCCGGCGCCGGCCCAGCAGCCCCCGGCGGCGAGCGAGGGCGAGCAGCAGCCACCGCGCGGGAGCGCCGTGCTGTGCGCGGTGTGCCTCGAGGACGTGCGGGCCGGCGAGATGGTGCGGTAGCTCCCCGCGTGCCGGCACCTCTTCCACGTCGACTGCGTCGACGTGTGGCTGCGCTCCCACCGGACCTGCCCGCTCTGCCGCTGCGAGCTCCCGCGGCGGAAGGCCACCCCTCAGGCTCAGCAGACCGTGGCCGTCACGCAGACCACGCCGGAAGCGGTGCCGTTGCCGCCTGTTTGAGTGTCACTGACTTCCGCGCCACTTGTTAGCGAAAGGGTTGTTGCTGCAGATCTCTCAAAGCTACGTAGTATTTTTGGCCTGTAAAGTTGTAGACAACATTCTTCAATTCCTGAATTTCTTTGGGGGCAATCAATAAGACATGACAATACGACGGGATATGATTGATTTGAATATACTACTCCTATATAAAGATGGCAACGGCCCCGATACCCGATAACCGACGGGTATTTGATCCATTAGAGGACGGGGATGGGATCATATCTTTACCCGCGGGCATCTAAATGGGCAAGAATCCATACCCGATGGGTATAACGGGTACGGGAACGTTCCATGTTTACCCGTCCCCGCTACCCGTTGGGGAACCCGACTATTTAAGCTGTCATGCGAGTATTAGGCCCAAAGAAACTTAACATAGGTATTTTGGCCCAAATCTGAACAATCATATATATAGTTTGTGTGTTTTAGGAACCCTAGTTCAATTTTTTCTCACCATCTCCGTCAGCAGCACAAGCACGCCTACCTCACGAGCGCTCGTGCCTATCGCTTCCTCAGTTCGGTCTCTCTATCACCTTTGCTTGTCCTCCTCGCAACCTCGCTCCTTCTCCTCGGCATCTCCGAGACTTCGACACTTATACCCGGGTGAAGAAGAAACGTCTCCGATTGCAAAGCTGCGACTCCAAGTGTCCTTGTTTATCGGGTATGCAGTACCCGTCGGGTATCTGTTACCCGACCAATGCCCGACGGGTACGGAGATGGGCAAGAATCTATACCCGAGACAGTTAACTGGGACGGGGACGGGATGAATTCTTCGTAGCGGGGAAGAAAACGTTCTGGCGATACCCGACGGGTATATCCCCGTTGCCAGTTTATTTGGATCACTAGAAGGTGCCACGGCTGTGTCGCAGAATCGAACTGTTTCTCGTCCCGCTTGATGTTTCCATTTTTAAATAAAAATAAAGGTGCCTTCGTGTCTTCAAGATCATACGTAGATTTCCGATGGAATGGAGGACCCACTGCAATTCTTTTATATACCCTGTTTGGACCTAGATATTGGAGTCGAGAATTGAAAATTGGAATAAGGTTTCCTGAATTATGCTATTTTGGGTGTCCATAGATCGAGATATGGAATTACAACTCCAATACCTTGGTATTGGACTATAAATAGAAATGAGCTCTCCCAATACAGAGGGGCGAGGCTCTGTATCGGGTGAAATTGGGCCTTCTCCGACCCCGGCGCCTCCCTCGCTGGCGTTACGCCGATGCTGCCCTTCATCCGTGCGTTGCGCGCCGCGTGACCCTCGACACCGCCCTCTACCCTGGACAAGTCCTCTCCGCTCGCACCAGATAAACCCATGAAGTCCCCTGATGCCCCCGATCCGCACCCCCAGCCATCGACGATGCCCTTTCACGGGAGTCCCGATGCCTCCGTCTTCCCCAGCTCTGGCTAACCACCTCCGTCTTCTCTAGCTCCGGCAGGCTACGGCCTACAACCTCCTTCCTCCGACCACGTCCTTCTTCCCTAGCTCCGGCAGGCTCCAGTGGACCACCTCCTTCTTCTCCACCTCTGTCTCCCCCAGCTATGGCACGCTATGGCCTACAACCTCCTTCCTCTGACCACGTCTTTCTTCCCTAGCTCTGGCAGGCTCCAGCGGACCACCCCCTTCTTCTCCAGCTCCGGCAAGCTCCTTCTTTCCTAGCTCTAGAGGTGTGTCTGTTGTTGTTGACATAAAGAGCTGGGAGAAGATGTGTCAATTTTAGGTACATCCAAACAATAGATTTGGTATTGTAAGACATTTCCAATGCACTGATTTGGTATTGGTATCCAATGCAATTCTAGTCTCTTCAATATCTACATCCAAACGGACCTTAAGTCAATCGTATGTTTTGTTTCGAGTTTCTTTTTTTTGGACAACTTTGTTTCAAGTTTCTGGAACCATAAGGAAGCTTGAGGTCGTCACAAATATTTCTAAGCGCCTCTGCTGCTGGAAGCTCGTTTGGCCTTCCCTGAGTGGATGCTTTGCCATCGCGTATTCGCCGCCCTATAGGCTACTTTTATGTTGTTTTCTATTCATAGGTTCAGTCTATGTGTTGTTGTGGCTAGGGGTCGTTTCCCCCTCCGTTTTTTTTCTTGTTGTTCATTGTGTCTTCATGACTATGATAATCCCTAGATTACTTGCGAGTCTTCGTACCTTTTTAAACTCTACTCCCTCTTAATAAAAAATGTGCCTCCTGCGAAAGAAAAAAATATTTCTATTAACTTGTTCGACATAATAATTTTTTTGTATATGTAACCGTGGCCGAGGTCCTGGTCTACCAAGTGTCATCACGTTCTCGGGTCCAGGACGACTGATGACCACCGTGGATTAAGGGGCTTCTTTTTTTTCCTTTTTCTTTTTTTTGTCATGGGCTGCTTGTTTCTGATAGAGCGTCGCTCGCTTAGTTGCTTGCCTCACCTAGGGTCTCTCAGATAGAGCGAGGCAAATCTTGCTTGCACGGTTTCAAAGCGCCAAAACAAAAGAACCGAATAGATAGGGTCGCTTGCTATCTTCACTTGACAAGATGTAACAGTTTCAGCAAAGAAACCAAGCAAGCCCATAGGCTCCACTTCGTTCTTGTTTCACCTAAAGTATTGCTTTCATACCCAGCTAGACCACCATGTTTATCAGACCAACTAAGAGACCATAGAACCATGTTTGGGTCGAGGTTTGTCACGACAACACGGCGTGACTAGATTATCTTATCTTACTGTTTCTAAGTTTCACTATATATGCTTGAAAAAAATAATTCCTAAAAATTCTCATGGTCTTTAACTTGGTAGACTCTAATTATCATCATTAGTAGTAGCCATTGAATTTATTCTATTTTATTTAAAATTTATCCACCTTTGTCATTATAAAAATACAAAAAAATAAGCCCCTAATTCTGCATCTAAGTTACCCATCTATGTCATGGTAAAAGATAATTCAAAAATTACCTCCTAAATTTATATATAAATTATCCAGCTCTATTATTATCAAAGATAATTCAAAGTAACCTCCTGACTTTGTATTTAAACTACCTACATGTACTATTATGAAAGATAATTTAAAATAACTCTCTAAATTTGTATCTAAATTACACACACCTCCATCATTTGGAAAGATAATTTAACATAATACGATAATATTATTTTTATAAATTACCGACATCTACCTTTATGAAAGAGAATGCAACATAACCCCTATGTTTCCATTCAAATTACCCATAGATGTCATTATTAACAAAAAAGTAACACATTTTAATTTGTACCAATGTTTAAAATTGCAGTATTTTTTCTAGTAGCTATAGCAGAGCTAGGATGGATAGCGTTTTGTAAGAAAACCTTGAAAAATACAAGTAATGTATTTAAGAACATATGAAAATCATGAATTTGATGAACACAAATATGTTTGTAATGTTCTCTTTAAAGTAGAATATAGCAATCGTAGCTGACAAAGCGACAAAAACAACAATAACTTACTACGGGGTCGCTCTAAGCCCTCTATTTAAAATCATTATTTGATCTAAAACATCCACCTTGTCTGTAATAAAAAAATGTCTCTCAAATCAACATATAAATATTAATATAAGCTATCATGAAAAATAATTTAATATCCATAAAGTGTGTTATATATTTCTAAATATCACACTTCTATCCCAATTAAATTAAAAGTAAGCATAGTATTATGTTCCACCATATAGACCAAGTAATAAACATGTATACATTAGGATAATAATCCATGATAATAAATTTCATAAGTTATTAATTTAAATTAGTAATTTTACACATTTAGATTGAATCATTTTACCATATCAATATTGGTAATTTAGTTTTAAGCACTCTTTGCTTTATAGAACAAAGCTACTACATATATAATTCTATAATATAAAAATTCAACATGTCTATTGTTGTGGTGTGAAAACCAAGAGGATAACCTAGGACCTATAATCTTTCTGGATAAAATAAAAAATTAAAATTTGAAGAAAAACACATAACTACTAGATTTTTAACTAAACACGTGGATAAAAATGCAACAAGTAGATTAAAGAGTACGAAGCAAAACTAAAGATCGTGATGTCACTGAAAGGGGATGCAATTAAAGTTTATATTACTTAAGATTATGTATATCGCACTAGGAAAAAATATAAATCCAAGAAATTCTAAATAGAGGTCATCAAGCAGATCAAGTACACATGCATGCATAAGAGATGAATATATATGTCATGTTTCAGCAACCATGAAAAAAATTCCTTAATGAATAACGTCTGATATACTAATGATATTAACAAATTATTTAAATGTATTAATAACCATTAAATATGTTATAAAATATCTATATAAGTTATTACTTTAGGTATATTTATTCATTTTTAAATAAAATATTCGACATATTTATATTGATAGTATAACCGCCACTGCACATATAATTCCTTGATAAGAAAATTCAAACCTCTTGAGAAATGGAAGGTTAGTGCAAACCATAGATCACTATATCTTCATGGCCTTTGAGTTTGCTCAGAGTAAATAGTCATTATATAAAGCTTAAATATTAATATATCCTGTCAAGGTTACCACTGCTATCCATCCATGATCTCCTTTCAAGATCTACCACTTGTCTTAAATATATGTCATCATAGTACTTAAAAAGCCATCTATGTCTCTATGATCTAAAGTCCTTATCTTATAAAGTAAAACAAGAGTAATATTAAAAGGTACAATAAGCACAAGATTTTTAAATTAACTTGGGGATTAAAAGTTCTATAGCAGTCAATAAGACTAATATTTGAAATACCGTAACTTAAATTCATGACATCATAGGATATAGGCCGCAACAAGTGTAACCATAGTTTAAGCTAAGATTTCAACTAAATGCATGTTGAAGACACACGGGTGCGTGTCATGCAAATGGTGATATGAATGAAGAACATATAGATCAGTAAATTATAAGTTTATCATAGCCAAATAATGACTACAAAATATTTGTGATGCTTATTGTTTAGAAAAAAAAGAACAAAGAGAACAACGTATAATTTAATATAAGTATAATTTTTATTAGCTATGGGTCGTATTAAAGAATATCTAATGCTCATGTTTCTTGATCTAGCACGGGTTGATCTTTGATGGACTAGTAGTATCTAATCAAACAATGTTTATTAATGCCATACCATGAAGTGTTAGAATCGTGTCATCACTGTTCAGTGTTCACTCATCTTGCCGTGCGAGTTCATTTCGCAGCCTTCTTCACCGCACTTACCTCTGGTCTCCAACGGTGGGACAGCGACTCCGTGGGGGTGCGGTGTACGTGGCCGACGCGATAAACACCACGCACGTCCAGAATCGCCGCTTCCTCGCCGCATTTTAATTTCCACACCCCGAAAGGAGCCCGGACATCACTGGAAAACCGTAAGCCGCGCAGAGCACCAGCGCCGCGCACGCCTATTTCAAGCTCGATTGTCTCCTCTCGCCACCCAGAAGTCCTGGATCCACACACTCGAACAAGGCTTGTTGTTCCGGAAGCAAGGGAAGCACGGACGACATGCTGACGCTGCACCCCAGGGTGGTGGCGACGAGTACCGTGGAGCCAATGGATCACTGCGAGAGCTTCGCCTTCTACTGCGTCGGGGTGTCCTGCGTCTCGGTGCTGCTCTTCATCGTGCTGGCCGCCGCGGTGAGCATCTCCAGGGCCTGCGCCATGGCGGGCGCCGTCGTGCTCCTGCTAGGGCTCGTCGGCTGGCTCGCACCCACGGGGAACGGAGCCGCCGGTCCCGCGGCGCAGCAGCAACGCCAGGCTGCTGCCGCTCCGGGGGTGCGGCTGGTGGTGCAACACCGGTGTGCGTGCGGGCTAGTGGACGCCGCGATCGCCGCGCTGCCGACGTTCGCGTACGAGCCAACCGCGGCGGAGAAGGGCGACGACAAGCCGCGCGGCAGTTCCGTGCTGTGCGCGGTTTGCCTGGAGGACATGCGAGCCGGCGAGATGGTGCGGCAGCTGCCGGCGTGCCGGCACTTGTTCCACGTCGACTGCATCGATGCCTGGCTGCGCGCTCACCGGACGTGCCCGCTCTGCCGCGGCCAGCTCTCCCCGGAGAGCGTCAACACAAATGCGGCAGCGGTCGCGGAGCCATCGGTCGATGCGTTGCCGCCGGTTTGAGTGTCACTCGAGCGGTTTATGAGACATGTTTCTAGATTAGATTGACGATAGTCCACTGATGTTGGGATACTGCGCTTATCTGTACAGTTTGCTATATTAGAGGTTTATGAGACATGTCCGAATAAAAAAAAACTAGGTTTGATTTCGAAGGCGCGCAACAAACGTGTGTCTCTAGGTCTAGGCATGAACTTCAAAATCGGGAATTAAATTGTATGGACCAGGAGTCCAAATCTCTCATACTACGATTGATGAATTGTCCCTGAAGTAAGTCACACGGCTGATCTGCTAATCTAAATAAGATAATGCTTCGTGGGACCATATCTAGGCATGTAATCGGTAGATTTATTGACCGGATGATTTGTTTAAGATGACACATGTCGTTCATCAAAGGTAGGAGGGAGATTTGGACCCCGGTGCATTCAATTTTTTTATTCCAAAATCTGTTCCACCCACATCGCCCGACGCTTCCGGTCTCGAAAGATCAGGAGCATCTAGCCGATGGGGACTAGTACCAGATTGTACGAACTAGGGGAGTCTAGAACCTGACACGCTTCAAATCAGGCGCTACCAGACAGACAATCTAGTCTATCACGTCAGTGCCAGCTTTTGTACGTACCTATGCGTATACTACTACTCCTTATATATGCACCACGAGTGTCTGAATGTTGCTGCAATACACTTACCGGCCAATTACACTTTGGAGGGTAACAAAGAACAAATACCCGTGTTTCTCAGGCAACTGGAGCGCTTTTGGGCCGTTGAGCTGAAGCATCATCCATTGATGGCAATATGGTACTATATCCTTGCTGTTGATTGGTTGGACTACCTGACCGGATGAGTGGACTAGCCTGCTGAGAATTAGACCGCCGGTTCTTTTTGTATCACTTGCTTTCTGTGGTAGAGCCGTAGAGGAGGATGGCAACCCTAGATTGAAAAACGGTGACATCTGAAAAATTCAAATGTTTGGGTTTTTGTCGTTTTTCCCCTAAAATGCTTGGAGGGAGTTGTTCGAGTTGATCTGCTATTTGGGTGGCTGTCGATTGAGTTGACTCAGTTTAGTGAGTCATGGTTGAGTGCTTCGTTGGTTGGTCTGTGTGACACGTCACCCTAATTTTTGTGGTTTTTGGGTTCAATTTTGAATTACAATACTGGGTTAGCATTTGTTTTGTTTTTTTTCTCCTAAGAATAAAATTTACTGTACACAACTTTTCCCGCTATTTCAAGAAAAAAATCTTGATTGCTGATATTCTAGTGGCTCAGTTTGATTATTCTTTTCTCAAGAAACGGCAATAGTATAAGAGCGTCTCCAAGACATTAGCCAAAAAAAGACTAGCCAAATTTACTGATTTAGCTATTCTCTAAAATAGATTTGACAAAAAATACTAGAGTACTCCAAATGACTCTGTAAAACCAAGAGACTGGATGACTATTGAGGTAGGCTATCCAAAAATAAAGAGCGAATGAGGTGGGATGAAGAGCTACTAAATTTGAAGAGTCATTTACAGAGCCTGTTGGAGATGTTTTTCCTTTAATAATAACCAAATTTACCTTTAGAAAATGGTTTGGCTAATCTCTTGGAGATGCTCCGAGAGCGAGAAATAAAGAGGCTGCTTAGAAGAGCTGTCCGTAGCTGCAACAACTGCCATCAACAGTTACAGGCCAGCAACAAAAACTAGTGACGACGGTTTGAAGAGGAGAACAGTAGGTGTCGGTGTTTTCGGACCACCGACGAGTAAATTTGTATTTACGCGTCTGGCTCGGATCGTGTGCTCGGAGGACACAAAGGCTTATACTGGTTCGGGCGGAACGTCCATACGTCCAGTTCGCTGCTGCTCGTGTTACCGGCACTTGGTTTGTAGTAGGGGTTACAAACATACGAGAGATGGAGAGGATCCCAAGTCTCTGGTGAAAGGAGTGAACGGGTGCTGAGAGCTCGCTTGCCGCTCAGCCGTGTGCTCGTGTCATGCTCTTGTGTCAAGATCCCCCACGTAGGGGCGCCCTGCTTCTCCTTTTATAGGCGAAGGGAAAGCGCGGGATACAGAGGAGAAAATAGAGAAGATCGAGAGAGAGAAAAGAATGCTTCCAGGGTTGCTGGGTCCTTCTTCTCCTTCATGTGGGTCCCGTCGATCCTGTAGATGTCAATAGGGACGGCTCCATGTCGTGGCCCTGTTCGCCACTAGCGCCATGCGCAGGCGTCATCTGTCGGTCATGGTGTTCCACTCTGTCCCGGCGGACGTCGTGGTGAACTGAAGCGCCTGTCAGCGTCCGTACGAGGATTAGGCAGAATAACACCGGCACGCCCGACACTGTTCTTGATGTGAATCCCCAGGTATGACCCGTTGTGACCATGAGTTATATCGAGGTGTGCCAGCCTCTTCCCTGGCGTCAGAGTTTTGACCTAGACCCATATGCTTGGACCCAGAGTGATTGGCGGCGGTATGGGTCCCCGTTGGATGAGACGGAACTCGCATCCCCAAGGGGTCGGGCGAGACGGAGCCCATGGCCTAGAGGCCAGGCAAGACGGAGCCCGCGGCCTCAAGGTCGGGTGAGACGGAGCCTGCGACCTTGGGGTGGGGCGAGATGGAGCCGGCACCCAAGGGGTCGGGCGAGACGGAGCCCATGGCCTTAAGGTCGGGCGAGACGGAGCCCGTGACCTTGGGCGAGACAGAACCCGCGTCCTTGGGGTCGGGCGAGACGGAGTCCCGCACCCACCCGCGGCCTTGGGGTCAGGCGAGACGGAGCCCACACCCAAGGGGTCGGGCGAGACGGAGCCTACAACCTTGGGGTCAGGCGAGACCTTTTAATACGTCTCGAGCCATCCAGGGAAGTCAGCGTGGGCGCTAACTTCCTTGCTTTGGGTATCCCTAATATCGATACCCAACAGTAGCCCCCAAGCATGCGGACGAGTAGAATACTCCTTTGGAGGGTTTTTCGGATGGGAGGACTCTGAGGACCTTGGCCTTCTTTTTGTAGCCCGTGCATGTCCTAGTAGGACGGTGATTCCCTTTTGTCATGATCGTTCTTCTTGGGGGCAAGTAACCATAGGATTCGGGAGGTTAGAAAGATTTTTCTTGATTCAGGTCCCCTAGGATCCGATCGGTCCGCGTTGTCCTACGACCACACGTTCAGTCTCCTTGCGAATCCAACTTCCCTCGAGCCCTCACACGTAGTAGGGGTGCAGTCGAGGGTCGACTTGTCTTTGTGATCGTCATCCCACAAGCATTTTCTTTTGACAAAACGGAGGGGCTAAGCCGTGCCATATTTTTCCTCGATGGACGAAATATGGTGCTCGGTAAGCTATTAATGGGCTAGTCCAAGTGGGGCCCGACTTCCCGTTCATGGGTGTCCAGCATGGGTCAGCTGGTGACCGACTCTAGACTCATGGTGGCCAATACATATAGTTCTTGGGTTCGTTCGGCTGGTCCCAAGGGCTCGTTGCCTTTCTTTGAGGAAGAACCATGGACTGGGAACCGACCAAGACTCGAACGTGGGCCGGGATGCCCGTGATGCTCGTGCGCCCAGGTACTGGCCGCTAGTGAGCCCATCCCGTTCCACCCTTCACTCTAAGGGTGTGAACCCGTCGGCGGCCAGCCTTCTAACTCCTGGTCCTAAATGGGCCATAGGAGCATTTTTAGCTCTGTATCCCTCCTTACCTGCGACGGTTCTTGGCCCATCGACCGGGCGAACCATCATCTGACGTGTCCTTTGAGGGCATGTGTAGAGATAGCATGCGTGCAATCTTCGGAGGGAGGTGATGTGATGCGGCGCAGCGAGCGCATGAACCTAGGTGGACCGTTCGCCTTCTCACCCCGCTCCATCCCATAAATAGCGGCCTCCCCTGATGTAGACAAGGCCCAATCTTCCAAAAGGTATGATAGCGTCGATTGGTGGAGACTCGACGTTCATGATCTAGGCTTCGAACCAAGACTGATTCGGACCCCCGCAACCGTTACACCACTACTCCATTGGTTATCAACCATGCGAACGCGATTGACCTCGCCGAGAAGGCTTTCCTGCAAGCGAATCGAGAACACAAGCAAGAACGGGATGAACGTAATCTGAAATTGCAAATAAATATGTGGCTTATGATAACAAGAAGAAGTTCAAGTCTTTATTCGAAAGGACTAATCACCACAGGCGAACAAGATCAAGAACTAGGGCCCTGGTTCACAGCAGGCGGCCTCGGCGGCACAGTTGCAGCAAAACGATATCTGTTTCACATGGAAATCGAGAACTAAACAAAACCTCCCAAACCCTAAGGAGAGCGATGGCTGCTAATTATAGAGTCTTTGCTGTCACCCCCCTAGACGCGCCCCCTAATGGGCCCAAACACGATACACGGTCCAACGAACCAAAAGACGGTGTCGCAGCACCCTGGCAGATTCTAGATGCTGACTTGTTTCAACGATCCCCATTGATTCCGAGAGCTTTTGACATAAGACCACTTGCATTGGCTTCCTTATCTAATTAGCTTTCCATCCATATATGGATCGTCGAAAACGGAGTCCGGACGCGTGCGTGTGACTAGTTTTATGATAGACTGGTCCCGGAACCCGAGATGGGCTCCAACTTCAGTTGGACTGGGCCTCCACCATGAGAAAGATGAATTGGATGCCCATGCTGGACCTCCTCCTCTCCTAGGCTTGTATGTGATGAAGTAGTGATGTCCTCCTCATCCTCCCTTTCTTGAATTGAAGTCGTCCTTGACTGAAGTAGATCGTCTCCTCCATTTTATAACAGAAACGATAGCTCTAGAAGAAGACGTTCATCTTGGCGCCCAATCCTTCGCAAAGGAGGCTGCCATGGTCGCCTCCCTATTGGGAATTCATCCTCCTTCTCCTGTAAAAGGTTAGTACCAACAAGAGGCATAGCACTAGAAGCAGGACATATAGGCGATGTACAAGTTAAAGCATAACATGGTTCATCATGATCAGCAAGAGCAGATTTAAGAGCAAATAAAACTTCTTTCTTGTTACTTGATGGTTCATTTGCTGGTTTGC